ATTCACAACCCCTGCCAAATTCGCGTTCAGAAGTGTAAGTACTATCGAGAAGAAAGGCTATCATTTCTCATATGGATACAGGTCGCAGCCTTTTGCAAGCATGTTATACCGGACAAAGCCATGTTCACCCCATTCCAGGTTGACCTCACTCTCAGTACTTTCACCCCCGCGTCCTCTCCACCCCGCCGCAATGATTCAACCTTCACGCGGTCTTCCTCTTTCCGTCTTACTAGTTTCCTATCGCGGAAAAACTCCCTAGCCTCTAGTCCAGCTTCGGGCACTTCTGACGTTGCTGGTCCACGGATCCAACCACGTGAATCGACAGACAGTGGACCTGGAACAGCCGGCTATGTAGATGCCTATAAAGTCGGTGTGAATCTTTACCAAATGACCCATCTACTAACGAAATTCCTAGATGAGGCCCCTGTCCAATGGAATGATTCGTGAGAGGATATCCACGAAAGGCTTTATTCGAGAAATGGAGCCGGAAGAAGAATTGACGGCCATGGATATGACCATTGATGGCATAGGAACGGTAAATGAACTCGGCGTCAAGCGCTATCTAGATGCACAAACTGTCTGGGAAAAGAAATTCAAAGATACTTTGAAGACCATCGCGAAGCATCGCAAACGGCACATCGATGCTGCTGATGCGGAGGAGTCTACCCGATTGGCCAAGCTCAAGGCATCAGTTATGGGAAAGGAGAAGGACGACGATGAGCGAAATAAAGTTATCAACTCTGCTAACTGGAGTTGGGCCTGGGTCGTTGCTGGGGATGAAAACCCACCTCCATCAAGCATTGTGGCGAGACGTGATACTGCAGAAGCTAGGCGCCTCAGTAAAATCGCGGACGAGGCTGTTGAAGAAAAGGAGAGCCGAATGAGCGGAAATAATCTTTGGCAGATGATGGTCAGCACTCTGAGCAACGGTCCAGAGAACAGTGCTCCAAAATCTCCTGTTCTTCCGAAGTCACCCGTGCTTCCGTTGTCACCTACCTGGGATCCTGAACCTGGATCACCCCCAAGGAGTATCTTCAGAGCAGCTGGACTGCGTTCCACCAGCTCTCTGGCCACTTCCATTTCCAACGATGTCGTTCGCCTTCGTCGCCCAAGTTTCGGTAGCTTACGCATCGGCCGTAATCGCTATTTGGATGGAAATGGAGATGTCTATCATCGACATTCCACCATTCCTGAGCTCCCTCCCGCGCTTCCTTCAGTTATTGGGGTTGGTCGTGAGGACACTTTCGCGAAACTAGCCCTAGAAGGCATTGCAGAAGTGCGTGTTAGTGAGGATGCTCCCATCTCTCCACTCAATGGAGACGCAGCTAAAGGGAAGGCCATTAACGGTCTCGGCTCCATGAATGGCCTCGTCCAAAATGCCGCAGGAGGAAGTGGAATCCACAAAAAGGGTTCGGGATCAGCACTATCGACTGGTGTGAAGCGCAAGGCTATACCTGCCCAACTGTTTGAGGAGGCTGGTATTGATCCTTCTCAATCGCCCTATGCATCCAAGGAGTCACTTACGAAGCACTCGAACCCTTCTTTGCCAAAAATACCTAGGAATCAGTCACTCTCGGGGCTAAGTGCTAAATCGGCAGGTGGTTCTCTCCCCAAGACCGATGAGGAGGTACCCCCAACTCCCGCACTGCCCTCTCCCCTCCCAGGTGTTCCATCAACCTCTGTCAATAACGAGGTCGCCTCATCCACGCCTGCTCAGCCTGTATCTCCCACCGAGAAGGTTGCCGCATAGAAGAGGCTTTCTCCATCATACCAATGTGATTACATTCCCCCTTTCCATATTTTTCCTTCCCTTTCAGCGGTCCTTATTTTGACAGTCAAATATTTGGAGATCTATCCTGACGTGAGACACTGGATGTCCTAGGACATAATTCATAATCACCCAGCTTTGTTCGTATATCTGCTCCAGATTTGTTTGTATCATCCTATAATCGTAATAATTGGATCGATATATATTGTCCCGCAATGCCTTTACGCATAGGTTACCTGATTTGTGAACGTTTGTATAGTCATAACAACGTCCAGAAGCGACTACTAGCTCTCTTAGATCTCGACTGAGATGGTTTCAATTGGTTGCTGGTCCTTACTGGTCCTTAGGTGGTTGCACTTTGAAACTCCGCCATTCTACTACTTGACATTTGGCTGACCATTCACTAAACAAGCGTATCGATTCTACACCAGACCTTCAACCCAGTGTAGTTTTTTTCGCTCCACCGGTAAATACCCCATCATTTGAGTGCAACTTTCTTGTGACATATCTGAATAATTCTGAAATTCAGCTCAATGTCAAACCGTCCTCTATTCATTCTCGGACATCTCCTCAAATAGTCTCTGAGTAGTTCTAGGCTACTTTGACGCGTGTAAAACACACCAAGGGTGTGCGTATCACAGAGCGCCGCTAGAACCCGGTATCCCAATCGCAACCCTAGGATGTCGGAATTTCGAAAAACCCGCACCGGGGGTTAGCATAATGTCGCTCAAAAAATATGCCAAGACCTAGTCTGCGCGACCATGGCCAGTGTCGAAATTACTCCTACATGACGACTTCGGAGCTCGGTGGCAGGATCTATATCACGCACTCAGCGGCCCAGCTGGGACGACTCGTTGTATATCCCAACCGAAAATTTACTCGTTTGTTCTAGACCAATTGTTTCACCGGTCAATCAGTGGCCCTGAGGGGGAGATTTCCAGCCCGGAAATATTGGCAAGTTTGGGCCTGTATGCCAGCATTTGCTATTCAGCCAATCCCTTTCAGGGCTACGTATAGTTCGTCGTTTTGGAACATGGGTTCTGTCCTGGTCCAGAAACCTCCACTAAACCAGCAAAAACACAGATTAACCACAAGTGTGAACAGTGCAGTTCTCTCATCAATATCTCATTGAACCAGACTACCATGCTCTATGCATTCGTGGGCGGTACGCGGCCGTCTCATTAGGGGCAGCTGGCCACTCAAAAGCACGCCATCCAAGCGCGCGTGTTGGCATACCATTGAACCTATGCAGCGATATGCCATAGCGGTAAAACGCCGTTCAATCATTAAGGCCATAGGCTAGACAGGCGGCCCTTGTAATCCTCCGACTTTCTACGCCACATCCATCTCCGGACAACACGTGCATGGGTACAACTTCCGGGTCTGCGAGACCTCAAACAATATTTAGGTGGCCCTCTGTGGTTACTTATTACCTTGTAGCCCCCTTCTAACTACACCACAAATGTACAATATGACCCTCGCGCGGCGGTTCTTGATGACCTACGTGACGATAATACTGCAGTGGGGATTTACTAGAGCGGCCATTACCGGGCAATTATCCCAAAGACCAAATCATGGAAGATGCGAGAATCCAGAGTAAGTTTTTTTTCTTGTTCGAGAGATGTACTTATATGTCTCAAAGGGGTCAGCGAATCACCACTGGACTCTGTGACAAAAAACTGGTCATCATCCTAGCAGTGGTGCTAGGGAGTTGTAAGTCTTTTACTCCTCACCTCCGCAACTATATCTTGACATCTACCAGTATTGATCGTTTCACTGTCTACTGCCATCTATATCGGAGTCCGCAGAAAACGGAACGAGTCCAGGCTGATGGAGGAACTGGGCATTGAGTCCAAACCAACACTGCCAAACCCCTTGGGGAACGACAGGGTCATCGTCAAACTCAAACTTCCAGGACTAGCCAGGACCCAGAACAAGTACGCCATGAACGACACGGATTCCATCGCACCTTCACCTTCGCTTTATTTTGGGCAGTAGCCCACTCCTCTTCACGTCAATTTACGATCAGCTATCCTTATTTCTGTGGTATTATAGCATAGTCCTCTCTGCATTGCTTGTACATTGCTAACACGTATGTATTATCCTTTGTTAATAAGCACAAAAAAGAGTGTTTTGATGCTCCTATTGAGCCATCGCTCATTCTCGGAAAAGAGTCCCTTGCTTGGCCCCCTCCCTTGAGAAGCGCCCAGCAGTACTTAATTGAGAGCAATAGATGGGCGCGGATGCCACGCATCATTGGACTTATACACTGGTCACTGCAAATCCCTTGCCATAGGCCATCTACGGCGCCAAAGCATGGTTGGGTACGGGCAGGGATGCGACCATTCTCAGCATGGGAACCTTTCCTTATTCTGGAAAATGCTTCCTGGTAGCATGTGCTTCTGGTTTTAAAGATTTGTCCACTACAGTTGGGCTGTGGGACTGGGAACTGTTAAGCTTTTCCCGCGGATGGCTTCGACGAGGCTCTCATGAGAAGATTCACAAAAACAGTCCTCCTTGCGTCAGCGCACCTCCCTTCTTCTATTCGCGATCTTCACAGTTTCCTATCGGAATTTATTGGCTCCACGGGCTTCTGGCCGTGATTGGACCCACACTTGAGCGTTCCGCTAGAGAACAGTACAGGGAGAAGGCGCATTGGAGACTAACAAGAGCACGCTTACCCGGCGTTATAAGCACGAGCACCTAAAGATCACACCATTTCTATACACTTGAACGCCAATGTATTGACCTCCGCTTTCCGAGCTCAAACCCAGATTGCACCCAGGAAGACTGCATGATAATGCTCTGGACCCACGCCCTCTCAAACACAAAGGCCCTTTTATAAGAATCTGATTGACCGTGTAACCTTTGACTTTTCTTTGCTTCCCGCACGATGTCGTCCCATCATGCTCTGCTCGTCCTTCCTTCTTATCTTGTCTGCCTAGTGGCATGCCTGATAGCAGCTGAAC